GATGTGAAGAAGGACAGCGCGAGCGCGGATAATGGATTTTCGGGAAGAATAAGAATTTCGGTGCACGGGGAGTACCGTAACGTTGTGAAAAAGATGGCTATCATCTGCGACCGACTAGCGGAGATACGGAGGACGAGATGCGGATTCGGCACGAGAGAGTGTAAATAAAGTTCACGATCGGCGCACGGGACCCGATGGTAGAGGCCGCCGAGTATTCTAACGGGGCAACGTCACGGCATGTTAACGTTCTACCATTGCGGAGGGGCTACCCTTTCCGCGATATACTACGTCAGTCCGGAGATATCGCAGATCCGCGCATCGTTTCCGCGGCACGGTTTCACCAAATGATCGGTCGATTTAAAGCAGAGGAAGTTATCTTACTGTTGTATATTAAGTAACAAAATTATTTATCACTTAATATAATATTTTAATATTTAATGTTTTTAAATATTTAAATATATTTTTTATTTATTACAATATTTAAATATTTTTCCTCGGTTCCTTCAATCAAAAGTATAAATGAATTAAAGCTTTCTCAAAGATTCTCTAACTTTTTAAAATGCTTAAGAGATAAATACTACGAGATATATCATCATATACTTCATGATATATAATAGAGAAACTCTCTCTCTATAAATCATCTAAAAAAAAAATTATTCAAGAAACTACCGGTCATAAAATAAGATCATTGACTGATAATGAGACAGAAGAACTTCAGACTTAATTTATCACAATCTCCGCGGATATGTAATAAATGCGAAGTGGAAAATTCGCGGAATGCGGCGAACGGAGGAAACAACATCGCGAAACGCAGTAAGTCGCGGTAGAATGCGACATTTATAGGCGAGCCGCGCTGTCGTCGGGCATGAGAGAATCTCGTACGAGAATATAGTCGTGCGAAATTTTTCAGCTGTCCGTCCGGCTGCTCCTGGCATGTTCGGTTATATACCGCGAAAGCTATATAACGTCTCCTTCGCCGCGCGCTCGTAAAAATCGCGTATTGTGTTTGGTTGCAAGCGGAAAGATGCGCTCGTCTCCGTCGGCATTGTCTTAGAATATCGTCCGCCGCATTCTTTTTATCTAGAAATATCCGCCGCAATCTGCGCCTGTAGTTGCGCTGCGAAACAACTACACAGAGAGATACAATAAATTGTGTATGTGTGTGTGACTAATGATTTATAGAAATTAATTCCATCATTAAAATTAATTACGCTTCTTTAAGATAAGTTGCGAGAAAAACGTTTATTAGATCCCCAGAAATAACTCTGTCCGCATCCGCGTACCACGAACGCGAATATATATATATATATATCTTTTTTCGATGATTTCGGAGCTGTAAAACGATCATTAGCCTAGATGGATAAAAATTTAGAACGTAGCGCAAAAAGCGACGGCTTTCCCACGTTTTAAAGCCCGTAAATCACGACGATAATCAGGCGCGCATTCCCATAACGCAGGACGGTCGCAATAACCATCTCTCGCGGAGGTTGATCACCCGCGGAGGGGAATTATTATAGGTAAATAACTATTTTCACCTCGGCGATGCGGCTACCGACACAGCCATGAAAAATCCCGATCACGCGCAATGAAAATTCCCAGCGCATTCCGTAACTTTGCACGCACGCACACAGACACGCACGCGATATCACCGTGCACGCATGTGCGTATAACGAGCGAGGCCATAACTAAAAGCGTGCATGATGAACCGCCGATCGCGTTTCGAGATTTATAGCGTCGCGAACGATCGGTGGTAGCGAATTGTGGAAAACGGATAAGAAGCTCTCTTTATGTTCATTTCTCTGTCCTTTTTTCATCTACTTTTTTCGAACAATTTAAAAACTTAAGATGATACATCCTATATTCGATATTTAAAAGAAGCTGTTTTATCTGACAATGAGCAATAGAAATAATATTCTAAAACATAATATAGAATCTAATTTAATAATCCTGATCGACTAATTTAACAGTTCTGATATTTCTCAGATAAATACAATATTAACCTAATTAACTATGTGAAAACATATCGCAGATTAATGTTTCGAAAGCAGGTCAACGTCACGCTAGATAGTCGAAAACTAATCATGGTGAATTCGAGGCGATGTTTGTAGCTATCACCTGTTTCTACACAAATACGAAACACGTGCATGACGCCACATGTAGTGAAGATACGAATGGAAATAGGGCGTGCAATCCGTCCGCCATGTCAACGTGCACGTGTTCACGTGTGAATACGTAATACCGTCAAAATTGAACATTCAACGTTCTATTTTTTTACTCTAATTATGATTAAAAGAATCAATCAAATTTCTCCAATGCAACATCGAATGTATATATTAAATCTAAATTTAATTTTTGTAACTCTCTATGATTAATTTTCTCAAATTCGTAAAAAAATATTAGTTAGGCCGCTGTTGCATTAAGTTCTTCAATAAAGAATATTTTCTTTCAAAAAAAGATAAATCTCATTATAAGCAATTTTACACGATATTTTTTTAGGAAAAAAGGGGTCAATCAATCATATATTTTATAGCTAGATTTTTTTTAGAAATTTGCAGAATACATTTCTTCTCGTTAAAAATGTCAAGATATTGATAAAATTTGTAAAAGAATATTTAAAATTAAAAGAATCGTCACACTCGTGCGTTATACTGTACATTATATATACAAATAAATAGAGAAACGTTCTTTTTATTTTAATTGTATGGCATATTAATAAATATCAGAATAGCGATTAAAATTCTCGCGTTCACTGTGTTGCAAATAAATTACTATGACGAAGTTTATCTTGACACGCGCACGAATATAGCTGATAATTTGTCTATTTGCATTATTCCAGTTAAATGCCATGCGTATATGGCATAGCGTGATAATTACATGTCGCGTTATTTCAATGCGCATTACTCATGCATACTCGCGGCCGTGAACGACACGCGCATAATTTAAATTCCGAGCTTTAAAGTTCTTTAATCCTTTCACTATCTAGAAACATGATTATCTACGCATCAACATACATCTCAGATCGAAATGCAATGATTTTTATAAAGAAAATATCAGTTATCATCAGTTTCTGATGATCGTATGTTGTGTTCACCGATATATGAAATGAATAAATCAAAATCGACAAAAAGATGCTTGATACATATGTTTAAATTTGAACAACAAAATCTATAACAAATTCCATTTCGCGTAATATAGTTCTTAATGTTATCTTTATTCGAAAGAAGCTTAGTGTTCGGAATTAAATTAAAATTAAGCATAAAGTAATGTACCTTTATATATTTGTATATATTTTCGTAATTCGATCAGCCGAAACTGCCACGCGAGAGAGAGAGAAAGAGAGAAAGAGACAAACGTATATAAACATTAAAAGAGAGAAGCAAACGTAAACATCAATATGTTGTCATCGCAAATCCGTCGATGCTCTCAATTGCTGCATTCCAAGCTGTCTTTCTTTCTATATGAATAGTTATTCTATTACAAGAAATATTTTATAGGATATAATTCTCTCTCTCTCTCTCTCTCTCTCGAGACTGAAAGGGTTTAGATTTTTTCGTGTGAGTCCGCCATGTCAACGTGCACGTGTTCACGTGTGAATACGTAATACCGTCAAAATTGAACATTCAACGTTCTATTTTTTTACTCTAATTATGATTAAAAGAATCAATCAAATTTCTCCAATGCAACATCGAATGTATATATTAAATCTAAATTTAATTTTTGTAACTCTCTATGATTAATTTTCTCAAATTCGTAAAAAAATATTAGTTAGGCCGCTGTTGCATTAAGTTCTTCAATAAAGAATATTTTCTTTCAAAAAAAGATAAATCTCATTATAAGCAATTTTACACGATATTTTTTTAGGAAAAAAGGGGTCAATCAATCATATATTTTATAGCTAGATTTTTTTTAGAAATTTGCAGAATACATTTCTTCTCGTTAAAAATGTCAAGATATTGATAAAATTTGTAAAAGAATATTTAAAATTAAAAGAATCGTCACACTCGTGCGTTATACTGTACATTATATATACAAATAAATAGAGAAACGTTCTTTTTATTTTAATTGTATGGCATATTAATAAATATCAGAATAGCGATTAAAATTCTCGCGTTCACTGTGTTGCAAATAAATTACTATGACGAAGTTTATCTTGACACGCGCACGAATATAGCTGATAATTTGTCTATTTGCATTATTCCAGTTAAATGCCATGCGTATATGGCATAGCGTGATAATTACATGTCGCGTTATTTCAATGCGCATTACTCATGCATACTCGCGGCCGTGAACGACACGCGCATAATTTAAATTCCGAGCTTTAAAGTTCTTTAATCCTTTCACTATCTAGAAACATGATTATCTACGCATCAACATACATCTCAGATCGAAATGCAATGATTTTTATAAAGAAAATATCAGTTATCATCAGTTTCTGATGATCGTATGTTGTGTTCACCGATATATGAAATGAATAAATCAAAATCGACAAAAAGATGCTTGATACATATGTTTAAATTTGAACAACAAAATCTATAACAAATTCCATTTCGCGTAATATAGTTCTTAATGTTATCTTTATTCGAAAGAAGCTTAGTGTTCGGAATTAAATTAAAATTAAGCATAAAGTAATGTACCTTTATATATTTGTATATATTTTCGTAATTCGATCAGCCGAAACTGCCACGCGAGAGAGAGAGAAAGAGAGAAAGAGACAAACGTATATAAACATTAAAAGAGAGAAGCAAACGTAAACATCAATATGTTGTCATCGCAAATCCGTCGATGCTCTCAATTGCTGCATTCCAAGCTGTCTTTCTTTCTATATGAATAGTTATTCTATTACAAGAAATATTTTATAGGATATAATTCTCTCTCTCTCTGTCTCTCTTTCTCTCGAGACTGAAAGGGTTTAGATTTTTTCGTGTGAAGTCTGCTTCGATACATCGAACGCTTGGCCGATCGAGCATCCCTGATGGTTAAAACGCAAAATCGACACTCACCGATAAATCCGCGGCGTTGCTCCCTTTCCCACGACGCCGCTGTCTTTCTTTTCCTCTCCTCAATCTCGACACAATCGAATCCGCGAACCCAGGTCGGCGACTGGCACGGGAGATCACTGTGCGGTGCGCACCGTTCGGTAGAGTAGAACAGTATATAATAATAATGCACTTTGTTCGCGCTCTCTCGAACGAACGATAGACGGGCAACGAACGACGGATGTCGTATACACTGTCACGATCACTTGTCGATTACCGAACGCGACGTTAATTTTTTTTTTTTGGATTCGAATGCCACGCGCACGTTCGCAGACACCTGTCGAACTCCGGCCGCGTGTTTACATCGCACGATAGAAAGGAAGGGAAAGGAAAGGAAGGGGGAGACGGGTGACGGCGAAGGGCAGAGTGCGCGAATACGTGACAAACCGTTACCGCTACACTTGTGCCGCCTCGGCGTCTCGCGAGCGAGTGCGAGTCGCGCGCGCTCACCGCGACATAGAATCTAGGGACGCCCCGGCGCGCCGGCGCGGGGCGGGGATGGGGAATAGTGCCATGCGCCGTGCCGCTCGTTTACCTGCGTCGGAGAACGGTACATCTTTTTCCATTTCGCTCTTCTCCCTCTGTACTCGCTTACCCTCTTCCTCCCTGAGGGTCCCCGCGAGTCTTCCGCGCCGTGGCTTTTCAAGGGAAATGCAAGGACGACTCTCTTCCGCGAGAAATGAGACTGATAAATGGCGGTCACGTCGCGCCCCGAAGAAGATTCGAACTAGACTGCCGCGCTTGAAGTCCGCGGCGTATTATAGAACATAGAACATTGAAAATTTAGATTGCGTATCGTACATTAGGACTTGACCAATTAGGACAAACCAATGCAATATTAGCCAATTAGCTAATGACCTGTCGATTTTTAGCCACGTAATATGAAGATGGCGTTATAAAAAAAAAACTAGAAATTGTTTTAAATAGTGCATGTTCATCTATATATTGTTATATATAATGACAATTGTATTAGCTATGCTGAAAATAAAAATATATAAATTAAAAAAAGAAAATATTCAATATTTGATACTAATATATATATACACACACATATATATTTAATACACAAATCTTTAATTTTGAAATTTTTATCCCATCTTTGCATATATTAAATAAAAAGGAAATGAATAAATCTTTGCTCCTTTTTCATTTAATGTCATTTTTTACCTACCAAAATTAACCCATTATCCAGTCCATATACATAATTGTCTATTTTACCTTATTTTTCAATTGCAATTGATATATTTCGCAGCAATATCTTTCCGTTCTTTGATAGATATTTTAATAATAACAAAGAAAAAAAAAATATATATATATATAGTATAAATCGTACGTCGCACGTATTGAGATAACAATACGGTACGAGAACGCATGTGGTTTCGCGCAAAACGTGCACTACCCAGACAAGAAGATTGTCCGCTTCAGATTTCGATGGACGATCATGAAATTACTGTGCCCCGGGCACCCCGTGCCCCGTTTTTTTGTCGGTGCACTTAGCCGGACTCAATCACGATCGGTCCAAACGACGGGAAACGATTCGGATGGACCACCGCGATACGAAAAGAGAAACAGCCGATTCAGCGATTATTAGGGCAGACGTACAAATATAAGAATAAAAAAAGCGAGGAGCAAGATTCAAATATTATCGGCAATAAGATACTGATACTGAAGTATAAAATCTGAAAATTGAAATAAAAAATAAATTGATAACAATTTAGTTTTTAAATTAAAGAGCCAATTCAAATCTCAATTATACTTGACAAAGATAGCTAATATCATGAATTTTTCGAAAAATTTGCGAAAGCTTATAAAATTTATATTTAATTCATAATTAGTTTTATATGTTCGTTAATTAAAGGATTATAATCGCGCATTACATTCATGTGTAATCATCAATAATCACGCTGGATATTAACGCGTGAAGACGCTGTTACAACAAGGCTGCGTCATCTGGCGTTGTGTAGCCTGAATTGCTTTGCTAAATCGGAAAATTATTACATTTTATTGCATTACCGTTGATCCTCGTTTTTCATTCTAATTCAATCGGAATTATGAAAGTAACTCATAAATAAATCATAAAGCAAATAAATAAATGCCATAAGTCTTATGATTATATAAACTTACGCAAAAAAAAAAAGATGTTTATTATATTCATTGTATTGCATCGTATATTGTGTCGAACGAACATACCTTTACGCGATAATGAATCAATAAACAAAAAAAGCAACGCATTGACACGCACAAAGCTCAAAATATTGAATTTTCAAAAGAAACGAAGTTATGATAAATAAGTAATTGCAATCATTTAAAATTTAAATGCAACGAAATTTCACAGTATGTGTAATAAAAAATAAACATAATAAAAAATGCGCGAATTCAAACGTATTACGTGAGATATTGCAATTTCCTTGAACAATATTATATCCACGTCTTATAATTCAAAATAAAAAACATTTCAGGAATTTATCTATTTATCTTTATTTATTTTTCTTGCTGAGTGCTCTTTTTTATTAAAATTATATTTTTTTAAATAATCATCTATTTTTTCTATACAGGATTGAGAGGGAAATCCAATTATAAACACTAGTTATAGTTATATGTATTCTATTATACAATTTTGCATATTTTTCAAGTTATAGAATATTCATTGGATGAAATATTACACTGAATAATGGACAATCTATATTTCATTTGTAATTTCACACACTATATACAAGCATCTATAACAAAAATTGTTAAATTACTTATGTGGTGGCCATATCCACTGGTTGGGTGGTGCATCTTGCATTAATTTTTCCCATGGTTTCCACACTAACATCTTTTCTGCCAGTGAAATCTCATTCTTTGCTTGTATTATAAGTTCCTCTACTTGTCCACAGCCTACCTTGTCTTCTATAGCTTGTATATCGACAGTCTGCAAAATATGATTAATCAACAACAATATATTATGTTACTTAAGAATGATTGTTGTTACTTTAATGAGCACTAGCATCACCTCTTTCACGATCTTCAATCTATTTCTGACAAGCTTCTCCGTCTCTTTCCGATAAGCATAATCCTTGGGAAACTTCTCTAACACTCGCAAAATTCTATTGTACAATGGAGTTAATTCTAAATGAGGCTTTGCGCAAACAGCCAATCCCTTTAGATGCGTAGACTGCAAACAAAAAACAATAATATTAATAAAAAATAAACTACTAAACTAATTTTGTAACAGTTATATATATCAGGATATCGTTAAATATGGTATAAATTCAAGTTATATGACAGATAAAATTCTAATCATATTCATTATTGAGTTTATAGATAAATTACCTTTTTGATCGCACTTGCCATTATCAGAGATATTACCTAACACTTTACGTATTTTAGAGATCTCCCTTTTCATACGCACCATCAGTTTCCTAACCTCAGAATATCAACTGATTGTCGTTAATCGTACACTCAGCGCCATCTAAGAAAGAAGGCTGTGCACTATTGTAGTGACATTCATAATTTAAAGAACATTTATGTTATTTTTCATAAAAAAACGATAATTTTTCCTATTTAAAAAATTCTCTTTGCAATTTTTAAATAAAAGTTTATTTGTACTTTATATATGAATATTTTAACATGACATAAATTTAAAAAATCTATGATTATGCAATTTACTTTCTCAAATCTATGGAATTGCGAAAACAATATTAAAGAAATCAAAATAAATTTAAAATAAATAGCAAAAGTCTGTTTATAAGTTACTTAATTAAACAATAAATCTTTAATAATCATTTCCAAATTATGATGAAAAACTGAACTATATAATTGTTCTTCCAAGGGCTATTTTTATTGTCTAATTTTAACTCTAACCTAAAGAAGTTTAGTTCGAGGCTTAATATGATGATGTGTCAAGCCTTCAACAGTCAACATCGAAAATTAAAGGGATTTTCTCAAATTTGTTATCATAAAATAAAAAAGCGAGTAATTTAAAGATAGAACGTTTATTTATTTTTTCCGCATATAGAAAGTTATGTTTATCGATTCGACTTGGCAACGCGCTCCAATTCGTCCTTCTTCTTAATCGCGTAAGAATTCGATGAACCTTTAGCGGCATTGATAAGTTCATCGGCTAAACATTCGCCAATCGTTTTGATGTTGCGGAATGCGGCTTCTCTCGCGCCAGTACATAGCAACCAAATGGCTTGATTAACGCGACGTAACGGAGATACGTCCACAGCTTGTCTCCTTACAGTACCAGCGCGTCCAATACGCGTAGAGTCTTCCCTTGGCCCAGAGTTGATAATGGCTGTGACAAGAACCTAAAACACAAGTATTCCAATTTGATGTATGATATTATTCAGTAGTATTATATAAAATAACTGTAAATATGAATTTTTTTTATAAAATGAAGAACAAGAAAATGGTAAAAAAGTAAGAAAAACAAATTTTTTATATAATAAAATTTCAAATCAAATTTTAAAACATATATAGAATTATATATACAGAATTATTCATATAAAAAAATATCAAATGTATATAAGCAAACTTTAAATATGTAATTATTCAACTCACTTGCAAAGGGTTCTCGCCAGTGAGAAGGTGAATGATTTCAAAGGCATGTTTAACAATTCGCACAGCCATTAATTTCTTTCCGTTGTTTCTGCCATGCATCATGAGAGAGTTTGTAAGACGTTCCACAATCGGACACTGAGCTTTTCGGAAACGTTTTGCTGCATAACGNGCTGAATGTGGAAGGTACTTTGCATTCTTCTCTTTGACGGCGATGTAATCCTGTAGAGACATGTCATTTACTTGTACATCGTCGCAATTCCAGCGTCCGAACAATTTGATCTCGGGTAGTTCGGCCGGCATGGCTACTGGTAATGTATTTGTGGTTGCCACCACCATATCGTCGAATGCTTCTTTGTCATCCATTGTTTATCTGTAAAACAAAAATACTTTCTCCAGAATGTCTCTCTACTCAAAATCTTGTAAAAAAATTCCCTGATCTTCCAGATATTTCAAATTCAAAATTCCAGATGAAGAGAATAAATATTTCAAAGATTGTGCAATTTTCTAAAATAAAATTAGTTATTGTGTTTTTTTATGCTTTTCACTTATACAAAGGAAAAACACAGCCATTCAAGCTTCAAGTGCTGGATTTGCAAATGTACTGAAAAAACTGAATAACTTTCGTAAGATAAACATTTTTAACTTGCATAACATCTTTATTTTTCATCACTAAAAATTACAATAAAAAATATGTACTATATGTTCAATATTTTGTTAAGATATTAAATATATAAACAGAGGATATATATTTTAAACACATAATTCATACACAACTTGGCTTATCGACAGATTGCCGACTGGTTCCACCACCATATCGTCGAATGCTTCTTTGTCATCCATTGTTTATCTGTAAAACAAAAATACTTTCTCCAGAATGTCTCTCTACTCAAAATCTTGTAAAAAAATTCCCTGATCTTCCAGATATTTCAAATTCAAAATTCCAGATGAAGAGAATAAATATTTCAAAGATTGTGCAATTTTCTAAAATAAAATTAGTTATTGTGTTTTTTTATGCTTTTCACTTATACAAAGGAAAAACACAGCCATTCAAGCTTCAAGTGCTGGATTTGCAAATGTACTGAAAAAACTGACTAACTTTCGTAAGATAAACATTTTTATTTTTTATCACTAAAAATTACAATAAAAAATATGTACTATATAAACAGAGTATATATATTTTAAACACATAATTCATACACAACTTGGCTTATCGACAGATTGCCGACTGGTTACAATATCAGAGCAAAATTAACAAAGAGAGAATTTCTCTAAAAATCCCCTGAGTCTCAATAAAATTCCAGAAAAATTTCCTGGTTTTTTCAGGTACAATGCATAATACAGCACAGCTTATATTATAGAATATTATGAGAAAATATGTTCATCGCAAAT